TACTATAAGACACTGCACATTCCCTCTCAACAAAGAGTTGTCTGACTCTAAATGTTAATATTGCTTAGTTGAGATATCTTGAGAGTCTTTAACCTCATTAGGCACATTCTCACCACTTGATGGTGGTGAAGGGCCTTCAAATTTCATGTATCTTCAACTATAAGTCAGATGATTGAAATGAGTATCAAGGAAGGAATGTATTGGGATAAACTTTGTAGATTTAACTTGGTGGATAGAAGGGAAGAATCTGTACTTACACCCATGGGTGTCTCTCAACTACATAGGATGATGAAATTTTAATTTTCAGGAATAATTACAACCTGGAGCAAAAAGGACCATGGTACCTTCCTTCTTTTGGTTCAGTATGTTTTCTATATTTCACTCCAAGGAATGAATTTGCAAGACCTAGGATTCTTTCCTTGACCCCCACTGTAAGGAAAATTAAAAGAGACACAGAGACAAGATGCAGAGACAAGAAAGATGGAAGAATGGCAAGATGGCCAGGATACCAGCTTTATTTATACTAATATGTTACATTAGGTCACTGGTATCATTAGTACATTATTCTTCATTGTGTCATTAGGCAGGTTACAGAGTTAGCAACATTATGCAGGTTATTCCTCAGTTACATAATATAGTTGCAATGTGCATTATGAGGAGGTTTGTGTAGCTCTCAAGAAAATCCATTGTTTAAAGTTAACTGTTATGTGGGCAGGTTCAGGCTCAGCAGAGCTTGGTGAAACAGGAGCTGTGTGCCTGAAATCAAGTTTGAGACTGATAAGACTCTAACACAGAGCCTCCTCATGCAGGGTATTGCTACAGCAGGTAGGCATTCTGTGTTTTGCACAGAGGTTTTCCTAGCAGCCACACATTCTGTGTTTTTGCACAGATCCTTCCTAGTCACTAAGCATGCCACAATCATGAACCATCAGCGACCTCAATCCCAAACACAGAACCCTTACACCTCCCTCCAACTACCAATTCGAAGGCCAAATGGAAAAATATCTATTCTTCTCCTCGTTAGTGTTCCTCTTTTAAAAAAATTATCAGTTTTCTATTTTCTAATTATTACTGACTAATGAGTGGCTCATCTAGCAACTGTCTCATGCTTCTCTTTGCTCTTCGCTTTCCTGTCTGCTAGTCTATTCTGAAAGGCCTTCATCCTCTCTGCTGCTCTCTTCATACTGGTTTTGGGAACAGAATATTATGTAGCCCTTATTTTCTTTTTTTCAGTTTCTTTCTTATTCACAAACCCATTGTTCAAATCCATCTGCACTCAGCAATCTGTACCAAGGCCTTGAATAATGCCACAGTTTTGTTTTTCCAGAAGCAGATGTTGAAACAGTGTGGAAGATATTTCTTAGTGGTAAACACTTATGAAAGAAGGGGGAGTAATAGGACTTGGCAGTGGGAGAAATTGAACTGTGGTGCAGGCCTCAGGATGCTTCCAGGACAAGGAAGAAACTCTGGAGTGAGTGGAGCCCATCAGAGCATCCTGTGTCAGGCCAACATGGCAGGGCCTCTGTGTCTCACTCAATCATGGATGCAAGTTGCTCAGGAGAGCCTGACCCCAGGGGAAAGGCTCTCTTCAATTGAGGCAGATGTGACAACTGATGAGTGGCTGCTTCCTTTACTCCCCTCATGTGGGCAGCAAACTCTTCCTTGAAGAAGGATCTGAGTGGTGCGCTTATGTTCCCCCACAGTGGAGATAATGGAAATTACAGGGTAAAGTAACAGATATACCTGATACTTTTCTTTGTTCAAAGGAGAAGAACCAAAGATATTTAACAATTAGCACTGTTGTTTCTAGGAGAACATGATCAGGTTCACATTTTTCCCCAATTTATGTAAATCCCTTGCATTGCCTTAAAAATAATGACATTGGAGGTGATTGGCTATTGTCAAAAGAACCTTATAATGCTCTTACTCAGCCTTTCTTCCTTCTGTTCCTCATACATTTTTTCTTTATGGTTTTTATTATATTTTTTAATATTCTATTTAGATAAAATATAGAGAAAACAGTCAGACAAACATATTTATAAACATTACTTGGCTCAAAATATGAAAGTTGGACCTGCATCTTCAGGAAGTTGCAACTGAGCCTTGAGTGGAGACCTCACTGCATTTCATTGCAGTAATAATAGTGGCACAATGACTTCTATTAACATGATTTTGTTCCCTGGTACTACAACCAGCTAACACGGGAACATATACCAAGAGCCAGGCATACATATTATATCCAAGTCATCTTCACACCTTTATGAGATAGCAGAATTTTATAGAAGAAGCACATGAAGCAGACACATGCTGACTTATCCCAGGGCAGATAGCTAGCAAAGTGATGGTCTTTATTTACATACACATCTAAGCAGTCTTGATGCTAAGTTCCTGCTCTTAACTACAGTAGCAAGCTGGCATTCCCTAATAGTTAACACTTGACTTAAATCCACTAATTCCCTTCTTCATCTTGAATCCCACCTCTTCTTGTTTCCTCTCTCCATTATTCATTTTTTTACAGGAATAACTTCTAAAACAAATTGTGTGCATGCAAATTTATTTCTCAGGAATGAGAAACCTAAGATCTATCTAAGGCATGGGGAACCTGAGATCTATTTCACACTGACAAAAAACATTACAAAATTGACTTGGTTGCATTTGGTTAATTTGTGTTTCAAATACATATAGCTATTAATAAAGTACTGAAGAACTTTGATATTCTGAACTGCATTTTGAGTTATTAAGTATTAATTAGACATTTTATTTTATTTTATTTTTTGAGAGATCAAGTCTCTGACCTCTTCAGCACTAATTAGACATTTTAAAGACTATACTATCAAGTGTGACTTCCCAAGGAGGCCATGTTGAATACTATTGTTAATGAACTTCCAGTGAGACTACTTCATCTATTGGTGTGCTTCTAGTAAAATTTTATTCAAAAGCAAATGAAGAAGGAACCTGGGATAGACAGCATGACATAACAACTGACACTTACAGTGTACTTACTCCATGTGTAGCATTGTCCTCCATGCCTTGTAAGTAGCCATTCATTTATTAATGAGAATCCTATCATTGCAGTGTTAGGATGCCTGAAGACACAGGGGCTAAATTACAAGTCCAAGTTCACACAGATACCAATACTACAATGATAGCACTATTGGTTTTCATCACAAACATATGATATAGTATAATACAAAACAATATAATGTAATTTAATACTCTTTATTGCCCTCTAAACTCATATACACCAATAATAAAGGTTTGAATAGCTTGTTTAGAATTTACTGAAAGTTGGAATTGAGAGAATAACCATTCTCTCAATGTAAGAATAAAGGTAAGAATAAAATGACAATTATGCATTTCACAAGTCTATCTTCAGTGTTCCAATGAAAGCACCCCCAAATTTAAACGGGTCAATTTTTAGACATACCACATTCTGTAGATGTTATTGGGTTCATATTATCTGTCTCTAAGAAAAAGAGATCTCCTGAAAAAATCTTGAAGCAGTTTTCCATTGCATTTTATGTAAATCATTTTTTATTCAGTTTATTTTTAATTTTTATTGACAGATAATAAATGTACATAATATGGGGTACAATTTGATGCTTTTATACATGTATAGATTGAGGAATAAGCAAATTAGGCAAATTAACATATCCATAACTTTATATACTTATCTATTTTTGGGGGGTTATGACACTTAAAATTCACTGTTTGCAATTTTGTATTGTATAATTCATTAAGCATGATTATTTTAATTCTACTTTATTTTAAGATTACATTTAGAGAAAATAAAACACAGACTGAGAAAAGAGCACTACAAACACTTATGCAACTCATACTTGGATTAAAATAGAAAGCTTGGACTTGCTTCTTACAAGTGAGCAGACTATAAACACAACCACATTTCAGTAAGATAGCAATAGTACTAATGATAATAATTAGCATAATTACTAGTCACCTGGTTTTATAGATCACCAGAATTTTTCCTCTTCTTTAACTGAAACTTTCCCTTTTGACCAAACTTTCCCCTATCCCCCACCCTGTCCTCAGTCTCTGGTAACCTGCATTCTACTCTCTATTTCTATGAGTTCTCATTTTTGGAGTCCACGTATAAGTGAATAACTTACATCCTGTCATGAATTTCCATACTCTCCTAGGTCCATTACCATCCTTGCCCCATCTCTTTTGGCCTTGTGATTCCTTTACCACACTACTTGGCACCTTTGCCTTAATGACTGGAACATCTGAAATCTGCTCATGTGGTGACCCCCAATTCCTTTTTCTCTGCTCCTCACCTCAGTGACTGAGGCTCATTCTGCTACCCATGAGAACCCTACCCCTACTAACCTTGCACCTATTTTCAACTCTAATTTTGTGACCTTCAATCAGACCCAGTGCTCTACATCTTGATGTTCTCATCCCCACTGACTCCTCTCCCCTGCTCCACTGTTCCTGAGGTCTCTTCCCTAATGAGACCCAAAATACTAACACTATTATCTCTCCCATTTCTGGCACCAACTTCATTATTTTCCCTAATTGTATCACAGAAAACACCATCTCTACATAGTCATCTTCTTTTACTCTAATTTACCTCTTCCCAATATTTTTGTCATCTCTCTAGTTTTTCCTTGGGATCTCATGTAAGAATCACACTGTTAACATACCTGAGGAATTTATTAGAGGCCTTTTTACTTTTGCAAAATATTTTTGGCTTTAAAATCAAAAGTAATATATGAGACTTATTAGTTGAAGGCTATATTGATTCATTCAATATAAAAAGCATTCAGCTAATACAAGGGGGAGAAATGAATTGCAGTAGAGTGGGTAGAGAGAGAAGAGGGGAGGGGAGGGGGGATAGTAGAGGATAGGAAAGGCAGCAGAATACAACAGACACTAGTATGGCAATATGTAAATCAATGGATGTGTAACTGATGTGATTCTGCAATCTGTATACAGGGTAAAAATGGGAGTTCATAACCCACTTGAATCAAAGTGTGAAATACGATATATCAAGAACTATGTAATGTTTTGAACAACCAACAATAAAAAAAATAAATAAATAAAAGCATTCAGCTAATGTCAATTGAACATTAAGTTTTCAAAGCTTGCAGTTATGAGTGTGACAGGCACCATGCTGTGCAGAGCTTCTGTTCCTAATACTATATCAGGTTGATCTCATTAAGAGATCCTCCCAACTCTCACCAAGACTATTTTTTCAGAAAAAAAAAATCATTCTGTTCAAGAACACCTATATCCTTCACAATTTTTTCAAGATTTCTGATACCTTTAATCCCAGCAACCTGAGAGCCTGAGGCAGGAGGCTCACAGGTTGCATCTTAATGAAACTCCATCTCCGAAATTAAAAAAAAAAAAATGCTGTAGTTGAGTAAAAATGTGCTTCCTGATATGTGTAATGCCAGGGTTTAATCCACAGCACTACAACAAAAACAAACAGAAAACTTATGGAGATTCTAGTCAGTAGATCTGAAACTGATAATATATTTGTAGTCCTGTGGTGGACAAAGGTGATGGAGTCAGCATCTCCCATTTCTGAAGATCTATGTTGTTTAACTACTGTGGCTTTGGTTGTGTCTTTTCACTGTCCATAGATAGGTAGAGCCTGTATCAGTAAATGGAAACCAAAGGGTATCTTTATGTCTAAAATGAGGACATTTTCTTCTTTCATCAGCATTATTTTAAATCATCAGTTTTGAGAACTGAGCATAAGGTATAGGTTTGTAGAAGGGTGATTCCCCTAGCACGGAAAAAGTATAAGGAAGCAAAAATATGTCTCATTGTAGATAAGCACTCCTCTGCATTTTATACATGAAATATATATTTATACAAGAAATATAAATTTTTATTAAAATGTGAGAACCCAATTAAGATTAATTAATAATTATGAAATTTTTATAAAAAGTAGATATTTTTTCATTTTTTTTTCTTTAGGGGATGGTGTTTATAATCATTAATGGCTTTATCTAATTTGACCTTGTCCACAGACTTGATGGGTAGGGTCCCATTTACATGGTTATCATTACACTTGTTTCAGGAGGTAATCTCAGGCAGATAACACCAGCTTTGAAGATCTAAACTTTGTGAATAACTCAACTTTTTGTAGCATGACAAGGAAGTTCCAAGAAACCAAAAAGAAGAGAATGTTGATTAAATGAAGCAATTATTTAACTTCTATTTCCTATGTTTGCCTGATAATGTTTCCTGACTTGATGAAGACTTTATCTTTGTCAAGTCTCTGGTTTGTTCTCTGCTAGAATAAAATATCCCTATAAAATACTATACATGGGAATCATGAAATTTCCATGAATCTTTTGTGTTTAAGGGTGAGTAAATTTTCTTCATGGATTGAATGATTGAAAAAATTCAGTGAAATAGAGAAAGTTTATTTGTCGTTGCTTGTCAAGACTTCTATATTAGTTCAACAGCCATGCAGTTACTGTAGAGAAATTTGTAGTATCATGAAATGACTTAAAATTTTCCGTGTGAAGATGATTTTTTTCTGAGGTGTTACATATTTTAAAATATGTAGAGCAATATTTCAAAATAGGAACTAGATATTTGGATTTTGTCATATGCTCCTATTTTAGTAATTTCTTTCTAATCCAAATGGAATTGAGGCAGAGAGATATCAAGTATTTTTCCAGGAATTCTTAAATTCTTGAATTGATATTTAATCACTTTTTAAACATTTTCTTTACAAAGTGGAATATGTAAAGCTCTAGTTGTAAGGAGGATATGTTTTGAGGTTGCTTGGTACTGTGACTTTGTACAGATGCTAAGGTATTTATGTGGTCATTGAAGATTATTTTTTCAAGTCATTAAGCACTTCCTGCTTTGTGATTTTGCCCCATTCATAGGGCATTTGACCTTTATCTATAAATTTTAGTTGATATTTTTCTTCCAATTTTGTTCTGAAGTGACAGACAAACCATTTCCAGTATGGCTGGGTGGATGAATCTGGGGTGATGCTCCATGTGGCATAATCCCCTCCTGCCTCCCGATAGTTCTTATATGGGATCATCCAATCATCTCTCAAAACAAGCAAATTATTACTTGCTACTAAACTAGTACAACAATCAATGACAAAGTGGTCTGTTCTATACCAATTGACTCCACGGACAGCCTGAGGACGATGAAATGGAACACTGTGGTCTCCTTCATGTTCAGGAATTGTGTTTGTACAAATTGCTTTACAGAAGGGACACTGTTTCCAACATCCACAGAGATGTTCAGAGAGGATTTTCTCAATTTCAGGAACCATTTCTTCTATAGGCATACTTGACAAGTTCTGTTCCACCTTCTTCATTGCAGGATCCAAACCTGCACTCATGGCTTCTTTGAGAAAATCCATATCTTTTATCTCTTGGTGCTCAATGTTTATCAAGTCTCTTCGTGGGAAAATCAAGTTGTTCCCCAGGTGATCACAGAACAAATCCAGCCACCCAGATGCAGTGCTGCTTCTGTCTTTAGCTACTGCTGTGGATTCATGAATGGCAGAGAGGATAGTATTCTTGATGTCATCAAGACTTGTTTTGAATAAAGTCTTTATTTTTTTATCTCTGTTGTCTGAACAGTACTTTTTGGTATAGTTCTCAATGTAACTCCTACAAAATGATTTTGGATTGTAAATGTATTGCCAATAATTTTCAAAATTTTCTTCTTCTGCTAGAGAGATGAGAATGTGTTTCTCCAGGTTAGATCTGTTTCCATTGAATGCAGGGCAGGAGGCTCTTATCTCCCCAGCTATTCTAGGGACCATTTTCCCCTGGATGGTAGCAGAGACAGCAGGAGTGAGCTTTTGCCACAGAAAATCAACAAAACATGTGATGGAGGTTGCACCTTGGCAGGAGATCTTGAAACTCATGAAAAAATCGTCTTTCTTTTGTTCTAGATATTTTACAGGATCATTTGCTCTCCTAAATGCCCTATGCCTTTCCTTAAAATGCTTTGTTGCCTTTTGAAATAAATATGAAGATAATTCAATGTTGTATTCGCTCGTAAATATATATCTATTCTTAGTGTGTTCAGATTTCCCTTCCTCTTCTATTATTTTCAGGATTTGATGGAAGTCACTTTGATCATAATCACGTTGTTGATTCGTAATATTTTCAATATATTCATTAAATCTTGAAAAAATACGATCAGTAGTCATATCAATGGACACTTTATCACAGGCCTCTAAACTCTTTGTGAGAAAGAAATATTCCTTACACATCTTGACATGTTTTCCAAAATCTAGCTGAAAATTCTTTCCAATATTTCTCTTTAGTTTTTCTACTATGTTTTTCTCTTTTCTGAAATAATCCAAAAGGATGTTTTCAGCATGCACATCAATTTTAGGCTCTGTGGCTTGAGGGAGATTTGAGGATACTTCACAAACCCATTTTCCCCAAAGTTGACTGAATTTCTCATATAACTCTTCATCACTCAACTTTTTACCTTTTACTCTTAAAGCCAAGTTTTGGCTCTTCTTCAATAATTCATTTTCATATACAGTCTTTTTCTGTTCTAGTTGTTCTTGATTTTGTTTGAGATGAATAAGTTCATGGGCTTTTCTCTTGGTGTCTGAAATAAGTGACTCTTTAAGGATTAGTAGCTTATTTTCAAAATAGGCTTTCCATTGGACAAGTATCTCTCTCTCTGGGTCTTCAGTAAAATATTTTTCAAGTACTTGCTTGATGGTTTCATATTTCTCTGTAACTGGACACTCAATTATGCTTGATGTGAGTGTCTGAATTTTTCTATTTTGAATCTGATTGTGAAGCTGGTTCTGCAAGTCCAACATATGGCTCCTGAGCTCCCAGGTCCAGTGGTTATACATGGTTTCCAGTTTGCTCATGGCCATGACCTCTCGGGTGTTTCTGAAACTGAAAATGAAGTTCTCACTTACCAGGGCTCTCCACAAATCTTGAACTCTGAATTTCACATCTGATATCTTCATGATGCTTCCCCTGGATTCCTGTTTGGCAGTTAAAAGAATTGTACTTTTCAGTTCCTGGACATTGTGGCTATAGCGAGGATTGGGAGGGGCCATGGGGGGATTGCCATCCCAGAGGTGAGCAAAGTAGTACACGTGAGTATTGACATCAAACTTGATGACATCACTGAAGTGAGTGACATCTGAGCACTCTTCTTGTTTAGCAGCCAGTACTGCCATTTCATCTAGCCTCTGCTCTAACCGCCTTCGTCCTTCTGTAGTTTGGTCTTTAGCTGTAACTTCTCCTACATTCTGATGGATGAATATGCACCTGGGGGAAATTTTCACTTGTTTCATCCTCAGAAAGGCTTGGACTACTATCTGTAGGATATCCTGCATTTCTGATGGATTCTCCCCAAATATATTGATCAGAGTCAAGTTTGCAAGCCCAATGACAAAGGTGGCTAACTCGTTGTCCCAGTTCTGGGATTTGTTGCTGAGTTCTGGGGCCCGAAGTCCTTCTGTGTCTACAACTAGCACAAAGTCAAAGCCAAGTTCCTCTGTGGATGTCTTGTCTACCTTTAGGAGCTGCATGTAGGCCCCCTTAGTACACCTGCCTGCACTTACACTGAACTGCAGCCCAAAAAGAGCATTCAGTAGGGTAGACTTCCCAGAGCTCTGCAGGCCAAGCACAGAGAGGACAAAGAGACGTTTGTCTCCAAGTTTCTCAGAGAGCTTGTCAAAAACAGCTGCCATCCATTTTAAGGGCACATAGGAAGCATCTCCATCCATCAGCTCTATGGGGACACCAGCTATCATCAGGTCTGCAGCAATTTGGGGAAGGAAGAGAAAAACTATATCATTTGTGGAGGAAGTTTCTTCCAGAGCTTCATAGATCTGGCCAACCTCTCTGAGAAACTGCTCAATTCCTAAGGTATAATCACTAATCTTCTTTTGGCAGAGCTCCAAAGAGTGGCTGCTTTGGGAGCTTTGCTTCTCTGTTTTCACAATTGACCACAAATGAATTAGTTTTTCATGTAGGTTCTCCAAATGCTCTTCAGTCAACCTATCTAAAAACACACTCATCCATTGCAAGAAGTAGAGTGTGGTGTGAGTTTCTGAATAGCGGTAGAGAATTTGAAGCACAGAGAACATTACATCATTGAGAGGAAAAGCTCTTTGCACCTGTTTTTGCCGAATTATTTGTTTATCTGACTCAAGCTCACTCTTGTGTTGTTCAATGCTTCGATTTCCCTTCTCTCTCAGATGATAAAGTTCTTTGTCCTTCCTACACCAAAGTTGCCACAGTTGTCCCTGAAGCGGTAGGAAGGTTTCCTTCACCTTAGATAACTCTGTTCCTCTTAAAAGAGCCATTATAATCTGTGCCTTTTCTTTGCCCTCCTTACAATCTCTCTGGTCTTCATCAATAAGAAATCCTTGCTGGCGAGCAATTTGAGAACAGTCCTCTAGGCTGAGAGCTGTGTCAGAGAGCTCTAGCAAACGTCTGATGGTAGTTGTGAGCTCCTCTGTCAATTCTGCCTCATTTCTATTCCTCAGGCCAATTTTCACTCTTCTACCAGAACTACTGGGTTTGGATTTTTCTTTGTCATCTAGCAAGCAGATCAATGATCTTGATGAATGACATAGGTCACGGACAATTTTTTGGTTTTGTTTGTTGTCATCAGAAGCTGACATGAGGACCACAATTAGAGAAGAGACCTCCTGCAGGAAAGTGAGCTGCCTTTTATGTTCCTTTGCATCTCCATGAAGATTCATGAAGGTCACACAGTTGTCAAACCTGTCCTCCACTTCCCCTCCAGGCCAAAACCAGCAGATTTCTACCACACCTCCCATCAAGAGGCAGTCCTTGCTGCTTTCTCTGCAGTGTCGGTGGAAAAAGACATTATGTTTACGTTCACTGAGAAGACAGTTCATGATCTGAGATTTGGAAGCAGACAGGCCATTGCCCACTCTAATGAAGGACACAATGGGGGTGGAGACACAACACATCTGCTGACACTTATGACTGTTCTTTCCATGTGGTGATTTCTTTTCTTGCTGCCAACTTCTCCTAACTTTTCTAAGAGACCAGAGAGAGAATTCGATTTGAGAAGTGCAAGGATTTGGCACCAGGAGAGGCAGGGCAAATTGACAAGTAGAAAGTTTGGTCAAAATATATTGTCTGGCAAAATCATCTGCACAGTGAAAAATGGTCATCTGGATATCCATGGGGTGAATGTGGGGCCTTGACTCAGTAGTCAAAGGATCAGTGAGAGTATCACTGTCTTCAACAAAGTCTTCATATGGATCAAAACCCTCATATTCCTGATTGGAGGCACTTGGAGAAACCTTAGATTCTATATTTCCATAGTCTTTAAAGACAAGGTATCTCAGTCCATAATCCAGCAACATTAGCTTCTGAAGGAAATAAAAGGGAAGTTCCTTTTCAGAATTGGGCTGGGTGTTGTAAAGAGAAGTCTTGTAGATCAGATGAAATTTAGCTTTACTCATTTTTTTAGGGTAGTAATGTTGTAGGCCTAGACGCTGGAGTAAGTCTAGGAAGGCTTCATTTTCTATTACTTCATTTGTGTTATTTTCATTAATATCTGGTTCACAGGGCCGTTTCTTTTCATGGAAAAGATTTAGTAGCTCTCTTTCAACGTCATCCCTTTTCAAAGAAGAGATAGTGGCTTCATAATCTCCATCAATGAGTAATCTCAAGTTTCTTTCTATGTTTTCCCAATCATGATCTTCTTCAAATTTAGTGAGGACATGTACAACTTCTTTAGAAAATAATTGTCCCATGTGTTTTATTATAAATTCCATGCGTTTTGTCTTCTCTTCTATAGATAGAGCTCTTAATTCAGCTGTGGCTGTCAGACCTGTGAGCAACAGGAATGCATGGGCCCTATAGCTGGAAATACTTTTGAGCTGCTGGTATTCATTAAAGGCAGTTTGTATTTCATCCAGTAGGAAGTTTAACTCACCAGGCCCCAGGAGAGGCTTAAAAATATTGCTTCCCACCTGATATCCTGCACCAGCTGCAATGGAAAGTAGCAAGAGCTGTGTATCTGGCTGCTCTGTTGCTTGCAAGTGGCTCAAGAAGCTGTTGAGAGCCAAGCAGACCTCATATGTGGCCTTTCTTTGAGCTTCTTCTACTTTTTCTTGGACCTTCACTTCCAAGAATTCTTCCTGTGTTTTTGTTAATTTTTTAATGAATTCAGAAAAATCGGAGATGTGGACTTGCTCTTGCTCTGAATCTGACTGTTTGATCCAGTGCATAATGGAGTGAGTCTGAGGAAAATTTTCCACTTTGTAGATGTGAGGATCTAGAAGGCTGCACAACTGAATTTTAATATAATTTGTTTTACAATTGGTAGACATTTTGCAAAAATTGATGGTACTGACTAGAAAAGTCTGCAGATCCTTATCTATGAGGCATAGGTTAATCCAAGTGTCATTTCCTTTTGTTTTTTGACTCAGTGTTTGCTTAAAATTTATCAGCTTTTGAAGCTGTTCTTCAGGATCAGAGACTTCCCAGGACTTCACAGCATCTAAGAAAACTCTAACCTCTTGCCTAACACTCAGTATCTCCTCTCCTTCTTGGATCTGGGAAGCAAGGCCAGTCAGAGTAGTGTAGTTGTCTTTCAGACACTTAGCTACCTTACATGGATCTTTAAAATCACTTCTGTGGCTGGAGAGGATAATGTCCCAAATAGGCACCAGCTGGAATCCCCGGTCAACGACACACCAGGTTTGATTGCTGGCAACAAGGCCAGCTTTCCATTGAGCAAGGTCATCTGCTTCTGGTGGTCCACCTGTCTTGGACACAGATAATTGGAATTTGGTTTGGAGGTTTTGAAAAGTCTTGTTCTGAATAGCTGCTTTTGAATGTGAGTCTGACACATTCATACCTGCAGCAACATTCATTCCAAAACCATGGTAGCCACCACTTATGTAAAAATCCAGGGCCTCTATTGCCTGCTGCTTTATATCAACTAGGTGATAATTTTGGAACCCCTTTGAGACAGCCTTCCACCAGTAGATTCCTCCCAGATGCAGAGGGCCTTGGTTAGCATGAGAGCCAAACCTGTGGAAGAATCTTTCACTCCACTGTTTCAGCACCTGGGATCCCTGAGGGTCTGTAGTCTGATCCAGAAGGTCTTCAAGGCATTTCAATTCCTGAAGAGCAGCATGGGACAACTGGAGCTGATCAATGGGGAAGTGGCAGGATGCCATGGGAGTGTATCTGAACTTGGTTGAGCAGAAATAAGAGCACTCCGAATTTGTTAGGTGGGTTTGCTTGGATTCTGAATGTTTGCCTTTATCCAGTTCAGTTTCTAAACTAAATCCCCAACCTCCACCCTTGGCTGAAGTAGTTAAACTGAAGCCTAAATTCTCCATAGACTGGGTGAACATGACTTCTGCTTGAGAAGATGTAAATTCTTCCGATTTCATCAATGTGCCCTGCTGAGGGCCAAAGAGTGAGAACTCCTTGGGGACACTGAGTAGCTCCTCTCTCCTCTGTATCAGGTCCATGTGGTGGCAGGTTTTGTATATTCCCTGCAGGGCCAGCCCTCCAGATGCCCATCTTACCAGATCTCTATCTGGGAGGTTTGGCCTGTGGGATGGCGTCTGCTCCATGGGACTGAATTCTTTCTTTATGATTTCCATGACTTCCCTGAGGGGCTTTGGAGGCTTCAGCCTGTTCTCTTCAGGGATCTCCATGGCTTGCCTCAGCTTTGCTTCCTTTCTCTTCACTGCCTCTTCCTGTCTCTGTCTCCCTTCTGACAGCAAGTTCCTCAGCTCTTTCACTGCTTGTTCTGCCTGCTTCTCCTTTTTCCTCTCCACTGGTGACTCCTGTAACTCTGCAAGACTATTTGAGTGGGACAGGTCAAGCAGCTTCTCCAGGGCCCTTTTCTCCCATGGATATTTTACCTCATATTTCAGCTTCTGGAGGTCTTTTTCTTTTAAATAACTTAATGACTGGGCACAGGTCACACCCAGGACTTCCTTCAGCTTGATCAACCAGTACTCAACTTCCAGTCCCACTTCTCTGAGCATCTCTGGAAGATCTTGCCTCCTTTTGCTTCTGAGGAGAGGCTCATCAGGGGTCTGCTTGCTTGTGTCCATGGCTGTGTGAAAAAAAAGATATTCAGTTAGTGTTGACTGGGTCCTGAGATTAGGAAGTGTGAGCCACGTGATGAAAAGCATGAATGTATTAGGAAAGCTACTCTCAAAGTTCTTCTCAACTCCTGCTTTACTTATATAAAATACATTTTCATCAAAACTTTCCTGTGCGTATTTTAGACATAATTGAGTGTACTGTCAAGATAGACTTTTTAAAAAATATGCTATGGTGAATTGCAAGTTAATAGCATGCTTTGGGCACTTACTACACAATCTCAATTGCATGGAAAGTATGAGGCTGAGGCACGGAGTTTTCCAATATCCATGTGTTTCTAAGCTCAATGCTTATTTTTTCAAATAGTGCAACACCACCATTTGGTTATCTTTCTTCTATATTTTTCCTTTTAATTGCTTCATTCCTATCACTGTCAGTTTGTCTTAAGTTATATAATGCTTATTTACTTTCTTGTAGTTTAAAATGAACTTCTAATCTAATTTACACCTCTAACTTCTATATTTCATCATCACCTAATTAATATTTCTATTCATTTTATGAATAATTATTTATATATAGATGTCATCCAATTCTATGAATATAGCTCACGATGATCTCCTCAATCCAGGATTTTATTAGTGTTTTGCAGCCAATGACATTGCAGTGCATATGCTTAGATGGAAGATGGGAAAAAAACCAGAAATCTTTGAAATGAAGGAAACAATAAATCCAATAAAAAACTCAATAGAAAGAATCACCACCAGACTAGATCACTTGGAAGAAGGAGCATCAGATAATGGAGACAAAATATACAATCTGGAAAATAAAGTGATCACACAGTGAATATAGTAAGAAACCATGATCAGAACATCCAAGAATTATGGGACAGCATCAAAAGACCAAATCTAAGAGTTACTGGGATAGAGGAAGGCACAGAGTTTCAAACCAAAAAATGCACAATCTTTTTAATGAGATAATATCAGAAAATTTCTCAAGCATGAAGATTGGATTGTAAAACCAAATACAAGAGGCCTACAGGACACCAAATGTACAAAATTACAACAGATCTACACCAAAGCACATTATAATGAAAATGCCTAGCATACAGAATAAGGATAGATTCTTAAAAGCCATAGGAGAGAGGAATCAGATCACATATAAGGGGAGACCAATTTGGGTCTCAGCAGATTTTTCAACCCAGACCTTCAAAGCCCGAATATCCTGAAACAACATATACTAATATCTGAAAAAAAATGGATGCCAACCAAGAATCTTATTTCCAGCAAAATTAAGCTTTTGTTTTGATGGTGAAATAAAAACTTTCTATGATAAACAAAAGTTAAAAGAATTTACAACTAGAAAGCCTACACTACAGAACATTCTCAGCAAAATATTCCTCAAAGAGGAAATGGGAAACAATGATAAAAAATCAGCAGAGGGAGGGTTTACACTAAATAAAAATCTAATCAGAGGAGAAACCAAGTCACATTAAATACCAAAAGTAAACAAAAAATGGCTGGGAATACAAATCATGTCTCAATAATAACCCTGAATGTTAATGACCTAAACTCACCAATCAAAAGATATAGATTAGCAGATTGGATAAAAAAAAAAAAAAAAAAAAAAAACAATATGCTGCCTCCAAGAGACTCATAGGAAAAGACAACCATAGACTGAAGGTGAAAGGTTGGGAAAAATCATACCACTCACATAAACTGCATAAACAAGCAGGGGTTTCTATCCTCGTATCAAATAAAGTAGTCTGAAAGCCAATAATAATCAAAAGGGATAAATATGGACATTACATACTGCTCAAGGGAACCATACACCAACAAGACAGAACAATCATAAATATATATGCCCCAAACAATGGTACAGCTATGTTCATCCAACAAATTCTACTCAAGTTCAAGAGTCAAATTGACCACAACACAATAATCTTGGGGAACTTTAACACACCTTTCTCACCACTGGAGATCTTCAAAACAAAAGTTGAATAAGAAACTATAGAACTCAATAATACAATCAATAACTTAGACTTAACTGTCATATATAGAATGTTTCAACCTGCATCACTTTCTTCTCAGCAGCACATGGATCCTTCTCTAAAATAGACCATATACTATGCCACAAAGCAACTCTTAGCAAAAACAAAAAGTAGAGATACTACCATGCATTTTTTAGATCATAATGGAATGAAACAAAATAAAAAATAAAAATTTCTGCATTACATGGAGACTGAACAATATGCTACTAAATGAACAATGGGTTACAGAAGACATCAAGGAGGAGATTAAAAAATTCTTAGAGGTAAATGAGAACACAGACACAACATATCAAAATCTCTGGGACACTATACAAGCAGTACTAAGAGGAAAATTCATTGCATGGAGTTCATTCCTTAAAAGAAGAAAAAGTCAACAAATAAATGACCTCACACTACATCTCAAAGCCCTAGAAAAAGAAGAACAAATCAGCAGCAAAAGCAGTAGAAGGCACAAATAATTAAAATTAGAGCTGAAATCAATAAAATCAAAACAAAAGAAACAATTGAAAAAATTGACAAAACAAAATGTTGGTTCTTTGAAAAAATAAATAAAATTGACAGATCCTTAGCCACACTAATGAAGAGTAGGGGAGAGAGAACTCAAATTACCAGCATATGTGATGAAAATGGCAATATCATAACAGACACAAAGAGAAATACAGAGGAAAATTAGAAATTATTTTAAAACCTTATACTCCAATAAAATAGAAGACATTGAAGGCACCAACAAATTTCTTAAGTAATATGATCTGCCCAGATTGAGTCAGGAAGATATACACAACTTAAACAGACCAATAACAAGTAAGGAAATAGACAAAGCCATCAAAAGATTAATAACCAAGAAAAACCCAGCAACAGAAAGATACACAGCTGAGTTCTACAAGATCTTTAAAGAAAAATTAATACTAATAAATAACAATTTATTTCAGGAAATATAAAAAGAGGGAGCACTTCCAAACTCTAAGAGGCCAATATCACCCTGATTCCAAAACCAGACAAAGACACTTCAAAGAAAGAAAACTTCAGACCAATATCTCTAATGAACAAAAATTCTCAACAAAATTCTGGCAAAGAGAATACAAAAACATATCAAAAAGATTGTGCACCATGATCAAGTGGGATTCATCTCAGGGATGCAAGGTTGGTTCAACATACGGAAATCAATAAATGTAATTCCTCACATCAGTAGACTTAAGATAAGAATCATATGATCATCTCAATAGATGCAGGAAAAGCATTTGACAAAATATAGTATCATTTCATGTTCAAAACACTAGAAAAACTAAGGATAACATGAACATATCCCAACATCATAAAGGCTATCTACTCTAAGCCTCAGACCAACATCATTCTAAATGGAGGAAAATTAAAAGCATTCCCTCTAAAAACTGGTACAAGACAGGGATGTCCTCTTTCACCACTTCTATTCAACATAGTTCTTGAAACACTGGCCAGAGCAGTTAGATAAAAGAAATTAAAGGGGTATGTATAGGAAAAGAAGAACTTAAATTAGCACTATTTGCTGATGATTTGATTCTATACCTAGAAGACCCAAAAAGCTCCACCAGAAAACTACTAGAACTAGTAAATGAATTCAGCAAAGTTGCAGGATATAAAATCAACATCCATAAATCAAAGGCATGTCTGTATATCAGTGAAAAATCCTCTGAGAAGGAAATGAGGAAAACTACCCCATTCACAATAACCTAAAAAAAAAGATACTTGGGAATCAACAAAAGAGGTGAAAGATCTATACAATGAAAACCACAAAACTCTAAAGAAAGAAATCAAAGAAGACCTTAGAAGATGGAAAGATCTAACTTGCTCTTGGATAGGCAGAATTAATGTTATCAAAATGACCTTACTATCAAAAGCACTATACAGATATAGTGCAATTCCTGTTAAAATCCCAATGACATTCCTCATAGAAATAGAAAAATCAATCATGAAATTCATCTGGAAAAAATAAGAGACCTAGAATAACTAAAGCAATCCAGAGCAGGAAGAGTGAAGCAGGTGGCATCACATACCAGATCTTAAAGTATACCACAGAGAAATAGTAACAAAACAGCATGGTATTAGCACCAAAACAGACTGGTAGATCAATGGTATAGAATAGAGGACACAGACACTAACCACAAAATTACAATTATCTGATATTAGACAAAGGTGCCAAAAACATGCACTGGAGAGACGATAGCACCTTTAACAAATGGTGCTGGGAAAACTGGAATTCCATATGCAACAAAATGAAATTAAATCCCCATCTCTCACCATGCACAATACTCAACTCAGTGGATCAAAGATCTAGGAATTAAACCAGAGACTGCATCTAACAGAAGAAAAAGTAGGCCCTAATCTTCATCATGAGGGATTAGGCCCCAACTTCCTTTTTTTTTTTTTTAATCTTCAACATTGTTTTATTTATTTTTAATTTTTTTATTATTAGTTGTTCAAAACTTTACAAAGCTCTTGACATATCATATTTCACACATTTGATTCAAGGAGATTATGAACTCCCATTTTTACCCCATATACATATTGCAGATTCACATCGGTTACACATCCACATTTTTACCTACTGCCATACTAGTGTATGTTGTATTCTGCTGCCTTTCCTATCCTCTACTATCCCCCC